ATCACTGAGCTGAAGAGGAAAGACGCTGAGCTGGAGCAGCTCTCACACACAGAGGATCACAACCAGTTTCTCCTCAACTACCCCTCACTGCCAGCACTCAGTGAGTCGACACACTCATCCAGCATCAACATCCGTCCTCTGAGACACTTTGAGGACGTGACAGCAGCTGTGTCAGAGCTCAGAGAGAAACTACAGGACGTCCTGAGAGACTCATGGACAAACATCTCACTGATGGTCACTGAGGTGGATGTTCTACTGTCAGAACCAGAACCAAAGACCAGAGCTGGATTCTTAAAATATTCATATGAAATCACTCTGGATCCAAACACGGCTAATAACTATCTGTTACTATCAGAGGGAAATAGAAAGGCAACCGTGATGGATCAACCTCAGTCTTATTCCAGTCACCCAGACAGATTCACTGATTACTGTCAGGTTCTGAGTAGAGAGAGTCTGACTGGACGTTGTTACTGGGAGGTGGAGTGCAGAGGGAGAGTTTATGTATCAGTGGCATACAAAAATATCATCAGAGAAGAAGATGACAGTATATTTGGAAGTAATGATAAATCTTGGGCATTAGACTTTCAACAGAACAAGTATATATTCTGGCATAACAACATCTCAACCTCCATCTCAGGTCCAGTTTCCTCCAGAGTCGGAGTGTACCTGGACCATGAAGCAGGTATTCTGTCCTTCTACAGCGTCTCTGAATCCATGACTCTGATCCACAGAGTCCAGACCAGATTCACTGAGCCGCTTCACGCTGCAGTTTGCATTGGTTCTGAAACTGGGTACTCTGCAGAGTTCTGTAGACTTAAGTAAACAAAATTAGGCTATAGTATTTATTTTCTTTTGTTTTGTTTTGTTTTATTTTTGCAAGCTTTTTCTTAAAACCATTAATTTGTGTCCTAAAAAAATCATCTTCAAAAATTGTCACCACTTTCTTTTCACCAGTTTTGTTGCTTTTAATAGCAAAACTTTCAAATAAAATGTGAAACAATTCCTGAGTTTGTTAAAGTGAAGCCATTTTGTTTTTTGTCATGTTCTTCTTTGTGTTATGAGACAACAGATGTCGTCGTCTCTTTGTGAACTTCAGCTCATTTAATGTCTTGTTGATTTTTATGTTGATTTGCTGTTCAGTTCTGTTAAGGATGATTGTAAAGTTTGAATCCAAATATATTTTAATGTTATTTCTCATTATATTTGTTCTTATTTGTTCTGATCTGTCTGAATGATTCTCTATAGAGATGGTTACACTGCCACCTACTGGAAGATTGTGTTGTTACATCTTTATGCACTTTATGAATGAGTTAAATCACATTGTTCATATGTAGTTTTTAATAGTTTGTGCTGAATAATAAAAAATATATTTTTTCATGTACTTTTACTGTTTCCACATTTTCTACTCATCTCTATTTTCTAAAATATAATTTTCTTCAGTAAACCATCACTTAGATTTTAAACCAAACTTTTACGTTCCAGGTCTTTACAAACATACACCTAAACAGAACATGGATTTTATTGTCACTTTTTAAACAAAGACACAAGACAAATAATCCTGACCTTGAGGGGAAATCAGATTTAAGGAAGTCGGGTTTTATTCAATTAATTTCAGTAAAAAAAAATAAACTACAGAATTTTTAGCTAAAACGACACTCAGCATCAACATTTCTCAGCACAGAGGAGGAAGTGAAGAAGCGGAACGGTTGGATGTTTGAGCTACTTTTACAATGGGAGCCGATAAAATAACAGAACTGAACCAATCCATGTTGTAACACTCAGTGGAAACAAGAAATTACAGATTACAAGTAAGATTGTTAAATTTACTGCTCAAAAAGTCGTAGATTTTAAAAGTAACCATGAAAGATTCAGGGGTTTTTTATTATTATTATTTGAGTCAAATAATAATAATACACACCTGAACAGACCACAGTTTTTAATTATCTAACTAGCTAAAGTGCTAAACACCAGACACAGTGCAGCATAATTGTATTTCTAACACATTTGAATGTTGATATCTTTGAATGCTTTCAGTAAATTAATATACAAAGAAAGCAATTGGTGCAAGTATGAAGCCCTGTGGAATACCTACCAGAAATTACTGACTTTAAAACAACGCTGTCTGTTTAATAAATATAATTTGATACATAACTTTTTCTTGATAAGAAACACTCAATATGTTTTGTTTGGCTAAAAGGCTTTGATTCTGTTCTCAAACAGCTGCTCCAGTTTTTTCATATTCTTCTTCAATGCTGAAGAGTTTAATGAGGGGTAAAATGTAAAAGCTGACAGACTAAATTCCTCTTTACAAACAAGAAAGTGTTTGTAAAAACATTTATTTATTTATTCAAGAGCAAACTCAAACATTTGATTTATTAGCCATTATAATATGGACATGTTCTCTAATGTTTGTGATTTTCAGCTCGTTGTGTGGTTTGATCCTGTTAGCTGTTTTTTTATTTGTACTGAAACGCAGATCATGTTTCATGTTCAGTTTCAAAATGTTCCCTTGACATCATGTTCTTTCCCATGAGGAAGATCAGTCTCCCAGTTCATTCTGAGTTTGTCTCTCTGTAATGTGATCAAAGTCAAACATGGGAAAAGGGCGTTGCCACAAATGTTCCACTATCAGGTGACCTGCACACCTGGGCAAAAACTAGTTTCATTTCTGAGGAACTGAAACTGTCTCTAGAAACAAACCTTGTACATTTATTGCTTTCATGAAGAGGATTGTGGGACCACATTTTCTTTACACAAGAAATATTTTAAAAATGTACACACAATTCACACGTCTGCAGAGAAACATACTTGTATAAAGTTTTAATATGTTTATATTTGCCTAGATTACCTCATCAGTGCTTCCTCTTTTTTCTGACTCTTGCCATGTTTATCTGCTTATCTTTCATGTGATCAATGCCAAACATGAGAAATGGGTGTGATTTCCATTCCTGGGAATAAACTAGTTTTGTGAGGAACTGAAATTGTCTCTAGAAGCAAACCTTGTACATTTATTGCTTTCATGAAGTGGATTGTGGGACCACATTTTCTTTCGAGACATTTCGAGGGGCAGGGGCCACAGTTAAAAAGGGATACATATAGAAAATCTTAAAACATCATCCAGTAGCAACAATCCATATTGAATCTAATATTTAATTGGATCATATTTTGTCCCTTTCATCATGTGGGGACAATGCAAAGCAAATTTAGTTCATGTTTTCCCTGATAGGTATAAAGTTGCTGTTGAGGCCTGTGTTGATCTGAGACTGTAGACTCAGACTAAGGGAGAGAAAGTCACTGGGTTTATTTGCTGCTATCTTACTAAATAAACTAATAATATCTGACTGTTTACCTCCATAGCAGCTTGGCTGCTTTACAGATCAACACAGCTCAGAGGGTTTAACTCGATGCTAGCACTTCTGATTTAAAATTTGTTTGAAAGTGACAATGCTATTAAATTTATTTCATGCTTTCACCAGCGAAGCTTACTTTGTAAGAGTGCATAGAATCATCAGGATTGTTGTCGCCAGCAGGGGAATCGCTCAGCTCTCCTCTGCCGGTGTGTCAGCACACACCTGCAGATGATCTGACTAGTTCGAGAAGTATAAGAGGAGCCTATAGCCAACATTTCCACGCCAGAGTGTTGACCCTTGTGGTAACTGAGAGCCATTAGAAAGCCTTGTGTTCTTGTGTTGTGACACGTTTTAAATCTAACCTCAAGTCTTTTCGTCCCACGTTGACCGTGCCCAGAAATAGGATCAAAGCCCAGGACCTGTTGAGCCCGCTAGTAGAAATCTAGACCTCCACGCCCTCGGCGCTCTGATGCAGTGAGCATCATCAAGTCAGCTCCTGTATCCCTCTACTTCCACGGGCGGACATTGTTTGGACCCAGTACGCCCAGCGCATTATTCCCAATCTCAGCCGGCCTTGTGTACTCACCTCTTCGGATCTGTCCTTTCAGAACCCCAGCCCAGACGCTTCTGACCTGCCTGCTGTTTGCTGATTCCTCAACTCATGCCACATTATTACTCTTGTATTTCTCCTGAGTGTATTGTTTCCAGTGGGTTCAGAACATTCCTAAAACTATGACAAGGATGGTTTGATTGTTGTGTTACCATGGCTACAATATGGTGCTATCTGTAATCTTTGAGTTTGAGCTCAGTTTGTTCACACATATATCATAGCTAGTTAGTTCAATAATAGCCTTGTTTCCCCTTTCACAGACTTCAGATTTGGGGCATCGAGGATAAAAGGCTCAATCCCCCTCTACTTCGTCCCCCTGCACATGCCTGCTCTCTTTTTTATGACTTCCTACATAACAACTCTACTCTGAAAACATATTTATTTATTCCCTTCCCTTTCTGTGCAGCAGGTTGAAGATGGCTGTAACCAGCCTGCAGTTAAATGTATGAAGTGAAGTTTTCATTATTTCTTCACAAATTAAAAAAAAATGAGTGAAACTTAAACTAACTTCATTTTTAGGAAGTGAAACCACTACAACTCATCCAGCCATCCATTGTCTGGACTTGCTTATCCCTGCAGGGTCTGATGCCTATTTCCAGCAGTTATTGGGTGAGAGGTACAACCTTCCTTCCTCTCACCCAATGAGAGGTCGGGAGATTAATTGCGCATGTTGCCAGTTAATCTAAGAATAACTTAGAGAAACCCATGGAAAACAACCAAGCACAAACACCCTGAAGGACAATTCCATGGAACAGTTTTCCGAACAGTCATGTTTTTGGGGCTGTGGGAAGTACGCAGCACAGGTCCATGCATGTACAGAGAGCATGTTATGGACATTTCATTATCAAGGAATGAGAATCTGTTTCAATAATAAGAGAGAGATTAATCTTTGTCTTTAAGTTTCTTTATTCAAAGGCAAAAGTGTTTGAAGACCCGTCTCACTGAGTGCAGTCAGGAGAAGAGCCCTGAGCAACACACATCACATCGTTACATAGTCACAGCAAGACAAAGACCCACCCAAAGTGTGATCTTATCTCTACTACCAGATGGACCACAGAGACAATCCTGACCCCCACCTCATGAACCGTCCCTCACCTCTTGGAGGGGATGATTTTATGGCAGGAAAGAGCTGATAAGGATTTCAGGAGAAACTTCTAATTCTTCTTTGTCAATTCGTCATGGGGTCAGGTCAAACAGGGTACAAACTACATTCCACACACATCAGTCCTTTCAGACAATCACCAAATCAAGCATTTTACCCAAGATGTCTTCAGGTCTCTTCTGCTATCACAGCTGCAGAAACATCTAAACATTATCTGCAAACTTATTTAATGGACAAACACATCTTGCAGAAATACAAAAACAAAGCAGATATAATCCATAAATAAATGAGGAAAATGTATCATCAGTTCCTTCAAAAATGAAATAAGACTGAAAATGAAATTTTCTTTTCAAGGCACACTGAAACTTGTTGATCGATATAAGGGTGGGATTCAAATCATGTTGCACCAACGTGACAAAAGCATGCACTGCACCACTGTGCGTCCGGGAATATTCCTTTCCACTGGCTGGTTTATCAAGGATGTGAACTGAATGACATGAGAATTAACACAGAAAAATATGGAAATAAAGAGATAGAGCTAAAGATAAACAAATGAGAAACCAAATGTCCTGGAGCTTTGCTGGGGTTGCTAGGTTATGGGGTGGGCTTTGCTGGGGTTGCTAGGTTACGGGGTGGGCTTTGCTGGGGTTGCTAGGTTACGGGGTGGGCTTTGCTGGGGTTGCTAGGTAACAGTGCTACCTCTCCTGATTTGTGATGTTAAATTTTGGAGGTTTCAAATTCAAATAACTTTAAATGTTTCCGAGGGGCATTTTAAATTTTTGAAACAGGTCATTTTTGACACCAAAAACATTAACTGATTGCCAAAAAACTATGTTTTTTTTTTAAAGGGTTTGGCTGTTTTTAGAAACAGTAGAAATCCAAATGGAAGTACAAAAACATGCGAAATGTTAATTTTGTGTAATAGGTCCCTTTTAAAATACAAGAAAAGGTTTATACATTCATAAATATCAATATAAAGAAACAAAATTTGCTCATTTTAAATGGTATCTGTGACACCTGGTAAAGGTACCAGGTGAGAAGCTTTTATAATTTGAAAATATGTTTCATAAATAAATGACCTATAAAATACAGAGATGTAGCAAAAAACAATCTTTTCTTTTCTTCTAGCGAACACAAATGTTGGACTTAAAGCAATTTAAGCATCTGATTCTTCAGTTATCGCAAAGATAGACTGCTTCAGCTTTCTGTGTGTTTGGATTTTATTTTTTATTTTTATTAGATTTCTAGTCAAATCCAGCTCATGTGTCATTTTTAGTTTTCAAAATGTTGCCTTGATGTCCTGTTCTGTTCCCATGATGAAGATGAGCTCTTATCTCATCCTTTAGGATCCATATCCTGTGCTTATCTCTCTTTTTCATGCGATCAACGTCAAACACGAGAAGTGGGTGTGATTTGCATACCTGGACAGAAACAAGTTTCATTTCTGACTGAAACTGTTTCTAGAAACAAACCTTACATAAATATTGCCTTCATGAAGGCAATATCCATGAACTGCAAGACCACATGTTCTTCAGAATGAAGCATTTATAAGATTTTGATAAAATTCACAGGTCTGCAGAGAAACATACTTTCAGTTTAAATATGTTTATATTCACCTAGTTTACCTGCACAACCCTTACTCTTTCTTTTCTGACTTCCCACATAGCATCTCTGTTCCGTAAACATATTCTTTTGTTCCCTTGCCCTTCAGGGCAGCAAATTGAAAATGAATGAAACTAGCCAGTAGGAAAATACTTTAACTGAGTCATTATGTCTTTGCAAATTGAAAATTTGTGTCTAACTCCATCCATTGTCTATACCTGCTTATCCCTGCAGCGCCTGGTGCCCATTTCCAGAAGTCTTATTGTGAAAGGTATGTTACAAGAAAAAACTTTCAGAACATAAATGGTCAAATAAATGTGTTTCTGTGATTTTTGAGACTTGTCTCAAGATGATCTCAAAGCTTTTCTTGGTTATTTTGTATTTGGTTTGTCCTGAAATTGCTTTCTATTGCTTTTAAGACAGTTGGATAAACAAATGAGAAACCAAATGTCCTGGAGCTTTGCTGGGGTTGCTAGGTTACCCTAGTTATCTTGACCTCGCCTTTTATTGTGAGGTAACTCAACCTTAAAACTGTGTCTACGCCTCTTCGTGCCCTGTTCTTGGCTCATTTCTCAGTAATCAAAGTCAGATATGAGAAATGTGTTACTAACATGGGCTGAGGTTTTATAAGATGGCCTTTCAGAGGATTGAGTTTTGTTGTTTTGATCAACAAAACTCAAGGTAGTTTCTCTTCTCAGGAAGTGAAACTACATCCTGGTGATGCAGTTTGAATGTTTTTCCATGTTTTTCCATTTTCCCTCCCTTTCTGGTCCTCCTACCTATGAGGGGTGGAGCCATCCTGTATTTAAGAGCTGACAAACACTGTTCTCCCTGCAGAACTTGTGAACTCGGACAGATTTTTGCCTCCAAGGCATCACAGCTTCTTGCTTTGAGACTTGAAATGGCTCAGAAAAGAACTCAAAGAGCTCAGATTGATGAAGAAGATGTTTACTGTGAGATCTGTTTTGATCTACTGAAGTATCCGGTGACGATTCCCTGTGGACACAACTTCTGCATAAACTGCATTAAAGCCCACTGGGATGAAGAGGAGGAGACAGGAACCAACAGCTGCCCTCAATGCTGGAAAACCTTTAACCCAAGTGGTGCCTCAGAGAAAACAACAGCACTGCCATCTTTAGTGGAGCAGCTGAAGAAGATCAGTCTCCAAGCTGCTCCAGATGATTCCTGCTATGCTGGACTTCAAGATGTGGCCTGTTTTTTCTGTTGTGGAAGAAAACTGAAAGCCATCAGCTTCTGTTTCATCTGCCAGGCCTTTTACTGTAGTCGACATGTTCATCCTCACTTTGATGATCCTCCTTTAAAGAAACACAAGATGGTGAAGGCATCCAAAATGGTCCAGAACAACATCTGCTCTCGTCATGATGAAGTCATCGATGTTTTCTGCCGCACCGATCAGAAGTTCATCTGTAGTCTCTGTTTAGAGAAAGTACATCAAGGCCATGACACAGTGTCAGCTGCAGCAGAAAGAGCTGAGAGGCAGAGAGAGCTGGAGGAGAGACGAGGAAACATCCAGCAGAGAATCCAGGACAGAGAGAAAGATGTGAAGCTGCTTCAACAGGAGGTGGAGGCCATCAATCACTCTGCTGATAAAACAGTGGAGGACAGTGAGAAGATCTTCACTGAGCTGATCCGTCTCCTCCAGAAAAGAAGCTCTGATGTGAAGCAGCAGATCAGATCCCAGCAGGAAACTGAAGTGAGTCGAGTCAAAGATGTTCAGGAGAAGCTGGAGCAGGAGATCACTGAGCTGAAGAGGAAAGACGCTGAGCTGGAGCAGCTCTCACACACAGAGGATCACAACCAGTTTCTCCTCAACTACCCCTCACTGCCAGCACTCAGTGAGTCGACACACTCATCCAGCATCAACATCCGTCCTCTGAGACACTTTGAGGACGTGACAGCAGCTGTGTCAGAGCTCAGAGACAAACTACAGGACGTCCTGAGAGACTCATGGACAAACATCTCACTGAAAATCACCAAGGTGGATGTTTTTCAGTCCGAACCAGAACCAGAACCAACAACCAGAGCTGAATTCTTGAGATATTCACGTGAAATCACTCTGGATCCAAACACAGCTCACTCAGACCTGGTTCTGTCAGAGGGGAACAGGAAGGTGACAAAAACATACAGGTCTCAGTCTTATCCCAGCCACCCAGACAGATTCACTGAATGTAAACAGGTTCTGAGTAAAGAGAGTCTGACTGGACGTTGTTACTGGGAGGTGGAGTGGACAGATAAATATGCCACTATAGCAGTCGCATACAAGAATATCAGAAGAGTAGGGAGTGGGCATCAGTGTATATTTGGGAATAATGACAGATCTTGGGCACTGGATTGCTCTCAAGGCAGTTTCACTGGATATACTTATGACTTTAGACACAATAACAAAGAAACCTCCATCTCAGGTCCTGGTTCCTCTACAATAGGAGTTTACCTGGACCACAGAGCAGGTGTTCTGTCCTTCTACAGCATCTCTGAAACCATGACTCTCCTCCACAGAGTCCAGACTACATTCACTAAGCCACTGCTGGCTGGAATTAGGATGCATATGTATGATGACACTGCTGAATTCTGTCAACTTACATAGAATAAACTAAGACTTTAATGTGTGTTTATAGTGTACAAAATAAAAGTTTATTTTAATATTGTAAAACCAGTTCTTGAACTGTTTTTTGTACATCTTCAGACACATATGAGACAATATATATTTTTTATTGTGGATCTGTGCTGATTTCAAGTCATTTTTATTTTTAGGAGGAAAACGTCAGAATAAATTATGTTGCTTCATTGTTTATCTCTGTTGGTGATGGGACGCTGCCCCCTACTGGACAGCTGTGTTACTTAGTTGTTGCTGAAGTCAATGGCATTTTTATAATTATTAGTTTTGATGAATCAATGTACTGTATACAGTTGTTCTAATCCATTTGAATAAACTTATTATTGGTGCTATAATGTCTGCATTTGTGTCTTTATGTGAATTTCAACTTGTTTTATGTTATTTTTGAGTATGCACTTTAAATTTATCAAATTTTTTACTGTATAAATGATTCCTCAGTTCAAGAAACATCAAAATAATAACACTTCATTTTATATATATATATATATATATA